TATAATATTTTTCAGTATTATCAACATGAAAATCAATCTGATATCCGAAGATGTACCAACTATTTCCAGAAAGATTCTAATACTTCAAGCAAAAGCATACTACTATTAAATTGAATGTTATTTTACTATCTTAACCTTCATATAATCTTTTTTCTTCATATACTTACTATATGAATTTATTTTAAATGATGGCAAGATATACTGCTTCCTCAACCATGTTCCATTCCTCTGCCAAATTCCCTAATTCTGCTGACATGAGACAATGTTCCCACTACAATGTGCCATTTTCCTCTCCGCTCTTCCTGAGACTGTTCTATCATCTGATTAGCAAATATCTAACCCTACACATACTTGGCTTAACAAGATTTCACTTCCTCAAATTACTAAAGATCAATCTGCTCTCAATATTTTTCCTATATAATTAATACTTTATTAATTATATAATATGCCAATTATTAATTATTGGCATATTCACAGAATGCCAATCTGCTCACAGTTTAAAAACATACTTATTTTTATTAATCTGCAGGATATTGTTGGTTTCCTGCTAGAATTCAATTATAACATCTTGCATTAAAAAATAATTTTATTGCTAACCAGTGTTGCAACATACTAACTTGACTAGGAAATATACATAATTTCTCTAAAAGACTTCACAATTGATGTCCATCTACAAATCTGCAAAGGTTAGACCTGATCAGATTATTTATCAGACTGAACTTAAGCAAATCTGGACAATGAATATGAGTCACTTCATAGTCAGATGTACACTACTTACAGTAGAATTACAACCTTACAACACAGTCTTCTACGAACAAAAAAAGTTGACAATATTGAAAAGATTATGGGATATTATCTAAAAATTCGAGTCCTTGATTTTTTGTTGTTCTGTAAAACACTTTTTCTTTATGGCAGAAAAAGAATTGCAAATTTTCTACTGAAATACCATCTTCTGATAGTGATGCAAAATGGTCCTATTATTTAATTTTTTAAAAGAGATCATACAAAATTTAAATATTTATATGAATGAGAGAATGTTTATTATTAAAAGGAAAATTAACTGGCTATGATTTTAAATCAGATCACCAGCTGTAAAGTTCCTTTTAAAACTAGAGACTATAGTCATATGTAAAATTACCTAAAAGAAATAATATAATATTCTTGGGCAAAAAGCAACTGTTGATTTAAAAACAAACAAATAAAATCCCTGCTCTTGGACCACTTTTACATTTATAAATAAAAATGTTGAAGAGTTACAACTTTTATAGCATTTTAAAAAATACTAAGTGTAATAGAGTCAAATCTAATTAAAAAGTTTAAATAGACTTTATTCCAAGATTATACTAGTCAGTTAGTACTATAATATGTTTAAAAATATTGGCCTAATCTTAAAATTCATGCTTTTATCATTTATCTGATGTGGGGGGAAATGTCTTAAACTAATAAATGTAATTTTAAACTGTCATTCTGGAAGTTAACCATCTAAAAAAAGGCATTCATAATTTATGGTATTTCTATAGATTTGATTACTTCATTTCAGTTAATAAATTTGTATTTGCATTTCTACACAAAAAAAGTTATGACAAATATATTGCAGTCTGTAGCTGATAATTAAATTTACATTAAGCCTATTTAATTGAAAACATTTCTAAAAACTTCACTGAGCTGCCATAATTTTTGTCAGCATATGTAGTACTGAATGATCATTAAAATACCTGAATTGAAACTATTCCAGTCTAGCAGTTTGTAAGGTCTGGTGTTACCCATAATTCCGACAAAGGCTGAGTTCAAAACAGCAAATTAGTAGATCAGTTTTAGGTGCAGAATAGTAGGAATAAAAATTAAAAAATAAAATACTACAAACAAGAACACAATTGACAACACCACTTGACAGGAACTGGAATGACACAGCAAAGTTAATAAGAAGTAGAAATAGAAAGTGAAGAAGGAGCATGCTATATAAACTAAAAGTAACTCAAATCTACTTTGAATATTACCTTGATGTTTAAAACCACCCCATTCTTTCTCTTGATATCATATGTATGCCTGTTTGCTTAATATTTTTTTTAAAGAAAATGCTTTAAAAAAATCTTTCCACGTAATAATTTTTAGAATTAGCATATGGTAGTGGTTTTAAAATAAGATTCTTATATCTATTCTCATTGTAAAATAAAGATTTCCCCATTCAGAAAATAGCTGTAAGATTCATTTGAGAGTGCAAACAGCACTTTCAACATTAGCACATGCATTTTAATCTATCATTAGTTTCTCTCAGCAGACTAAAGCAGTGTCACTAAATTAATTAATAATCACTGTGATAGACGCTAGAATTTTGTTTTATTTAGTTTTAACATTCAACATTTTTTTAAAAGGTAACATTTTTCATGAATAATCATTTAAAGGGCTCTGGAGATAAAATGTACTTGAGGAAAAAAAAATTTTTTTTAAGAATACATAGATATAACAACTCAAAGAATGTGATTATTTTCAATCAAAATAATACCTTATTGTGACTAACAGAATACATAATTGATATGCATTTAACTAAAAATAAAACAAAATTGAATTATAAATCATATATCATTAAAAGTAATTTATAAGTATATGACCATACCTTCTGGAAAGTAATGTATCAGTGTTATACAATTTCTACATACAAATTGAAAAAACATATATCATGGGAAAGGAGTAAAGGGAGGAGAGAATGTATGAGCTCGCATTAAACAACACAAAAAAACATCTTATGGATAAGGATTCCTGTTTTCTTCTCTGGACTGGAATTCTTACCACTCTTATACATATGTAATTGGCAAATAGAATAATTTTCAGCAAAAAAAAAAAAAGAGTTTTTGTGTGTATAAATAATAATGAGATTAAGTACAAAGCACAACTTAAATCTAAGTAGTTACCATTTGTTCTTCCAGATTCTAGAGTTTACTCAGAGTCTGTAGGAACAACAAAAGGCGATCAAATTGTATGCATTATATTCGTGAATGCCATCAAGTAGATTCCGACTAATTGCACAAACTTAAAGAAGAAAATGAGATCGGCCCCACTGGGTTTCTTAGACTGTAATCTTTTCAAGAGCCCTTCACTGGGTCTTTTCTCCTCAGGTGCCACTCGTAGGTTTGAGCCACTAATCTTCTGGTTGGCAGTTTAACCATTGTGCTACCAAGATCCCCACAACAGGAGACATTAGCAACAATAAAATATATTCCTGATACTACTTTGGGGTTTATCATATTGTTAGGTGCCATATATCAAAATATTTGAGTCAATGGCCCGTAGAAGCACCAACAATTATCCTTGGTCATATAGTTTAATATCAAATAGCTTAGAATTTTCTTGCCCTTTCTGAATTAGTCAAGTTTTCAAAATCTCAATATATTAAACTGCCATCAATCTGAAGAAAAGATCTTAATCTGACCAGAAAATAAGAACAGAAAAAAATAAAAGAAGAAGAAGGAATCAAATAGAGAAGAAAAGCACAAGTGTATTGCTTAGAAGACGTATGCCCCCCTCAGGACGAATAATGAGTAGCCATACCAAGAGGGGAAGAGTAAGTGGGGGAGAAAGGGAGAACCGATCACAATGATCTACATATAACCCCCTCCCTGGGGGACGGACAACAGAAATGTGGGTGAAGGGAGACATCGGACAGTGTAGGACATGAAAAAATAATCTATAAATTATCAAGGGTCCGTGAGGGAGGCAAAGTGGGGAAGGGAGTGAGGGGGAAAGATGAGGAGCTGATACCAAGGGCTCAAGTAGAAAGAAAATGTTTTGAGAACGATGATAGCAACAAATGTACAAATGTGCTTGAAACAATGGATAGATGGATGGATTGTGTTAAGAGTTGTATGAGCCCCCAATAAAATGATTAAAACATTTTAAAAAATAATAATAAAAAGAACAAGTTCAAAAAAAAGAAGAAGCTGTACCCACTTAGGTTATAAAATTAAACACTGGCTATGCAATAATCTCATTCAGTGTTTGACTGCCCTGTTTAAGTGTTGACCTTTTCAGAAAAACTCTATTTGGTCTCTCTGTAATTATTAATTTAAAAGGCATAATACCACAGGGTATAAATTTTAAAAGTAAATAGAACAGTAATGTTCTGCATGCTCAAAATCACCAACAGCAATATTTTTCATCCAGTAATTCCGAAGTATTTTTTTAAGCTGTCAATACAAGGCTCTGGAAGAAGCTATTTATTCAAAGTGCCAATTTACATTTTTCAGAAATACATGAATATATGGCAAAAATGGAAAATTAATATGACACTGGTTTATGGTATATCATTAAAACAGTGACTTGAGCAAAATTTGAGCATCTAATTCATGAAAGATGCAAGAATACATCCATACAGACAATTCTTACCATTCACTCTACTAATTAAGATTTAGAAAAATCACCAGAGCATTTCAAATCAAAGGACCTAAAGTTACTGGTCCTCGGAGGTCTATCTACTCTCACATTATGTTTAAAGAAATGGGTAACTATTCGTATTTGTTTACTTATTTAGAGTAGAAGCAAAGTAATACACATAGGAAGTCAAGAAACCAGAAATCCTAGGTTCTTTTATTAAATTCTTCTTCATTTAAAAAAACATCTTCACAATTTGCCTTACAATTATTTATTAAAAGATACCTCTTAAAAAAAAGATACCTCTTCTTAGAATAAATTTGCTCAAGTAATCTATAATGAACTACAGCCAATAAAAAAAAATTAGCAACTTAAGTTAATGGCAAAATGATCATCTTTCCCATCTGCCAAGATCAAAGGAAATAGCAGACTGAAAAGTTACTTAAAGACTCTCAGACAGCATGGTCAAGAAGCAAATCCAGATTTGTTTGCTGGTTTTTTATAGAAAAGTAACTAAACTATATTTCTCTTAGCCTGATCATTTTTAATTAAGATTACCATAAACATTTTGAATCAAGTGGCAAATCACGATTTATGTAAACAAAGCATTTAAAAAAAACTTTTCAGAGACTTACCAGGATTGTGGATCCGATCCAAAAGCTTCACCGAGCGTGCACTAACAACACCCCCAACATGCACAAGAAATCCAGGAGGAAATGCCGTCAGGGTGAAAAATGGAAATTCCTAGTAGAGAGAATAGGGGGGAAATACAACTGACCATGGGCAAAGTATTAAAAAAAAATCACTGACTTAAAAGCTTGTCATAATTAACATATGCTAACCCTTGACACAAAAAGACGACCTATTATGCTCGATACATGCTTTGTAATTCAAAGTTTCCTTTGATATTTAGAGTTCCAAACCCATTTTTCTCGTATACAATGTGATATGGAATCCAAACACTATCAATTTTCAATAAGGAAAAATGTTTTTCAGAATTCCAATTTGAAACATGTACCAAAGTCTCTCTTACTCTCACTCTCCTACTCAGGTTTAACTTCACAGTGGGATAAGGGGATCCCTACTCCTCTAGTGTGCTGCTCATTCAAGTGTGCTTCCCTCACACTCACAGAGAATTTCAACCTACTGTAATACTCCTAAGCCGAGGACAAGGGATATAAAAGAATGGAGAGCTAAGGAAGGGAACTGAGAAAACAGGCAAAGTGGGTTATCAGATATATAGATAAGAGAGAAGGGAAAATACCAAGTTGAGAGGTGGAGAATCTCCCGAAAGGGCTTCCGCTCCTACTCATCAATGGTGGGGGCTCACTCACTCACCCACTGCTATTTAGTCTATTCCGACCCATAAAAACCCACCAGACAGAGCAGAACTGCACCCTTGGGTTTGTGAGGCCATAAATTTTTATGGGAACCAAAAAGCCTCATTTTTCTCCTGCAGGGCAGCTGGTAGGTTCAAACTGCTGACCTTGCTGCTAGCAACCCAGCACACAATCCACTATGCCACAAGGGCTCCTTCAACACCTGTGCAGAAGGAACAAATGTAAAAGGGGAGAAAGGTATGTCACTGAGAGGTAGCAGAATTCCACAAGCTCTCCCAAATTTAATTCTAAGCCTTTTTTCTCCTAAAAGACAGCACACCTGTCCATTTAGGGATCAGGACAACAGGGAAAATGGAGTAAGGATTTTCACTGAAACTGCAAACAGGAAGAAGGAGGTGTTCCTGCGGCTATCCAAATGAAGGGTTTCTCTGTCTACAAATGGACTACAGATAAGGGGAACTTAATTTCTTACTCTTCTAGCTACAAGATTAATGCAACTTCTCATTTACTAAGTCACTTACCAGTTGCCTCAACTATTTGGACCATAACTGGTACAAACAAACTGGAGTATAAATAAAAGAGGATTCTCAACAGTCAAAAGAACCATTAAAATTCCAAATACTAAAGCTCATGCACTTTATATAGAAGAGTCTCATATATCATATTCATACTATGATATATATATAATTTTGAAAACATCTCATTCTAATATTTATCATTATCTAATTATCTGGACCAAAAGGGATTAAATGCAGCAAATAAAAGCTGGGAGACAGACTACTTCTAGAAGCAGGTACATTAAAAGCAGCAAGATCAGTCACTGGCTGCCTGGGAGTCACAAAATTCACAAAAGCATAACTTGCAGGCAAAACAACTTGGAATCATTTAGCAGGAAGGCAGATAATTCTGCATATCTCACTAACACATAAAAGTAAAGTACTAAATGTACATATGTATGTATGTGTATGCATATACTCATATCATGTGTTTAGAAGTAAATTCCGTTAGAGTGCTTAAGAATTTAAGAAAGGTGTAAGGATCAAGTGGCCAGGTTTGACCTTGCAGATGAGGGCAGGGAAAGATACCACTCAAGTGTAGTATAACATGTCATAATTCTGTAAAAATCAATCTTCCGAGAAGAGCTACCGATTGCTAAGTGCCTACTATCACCAGCAACTCACTACAACCTGGTTCTTCAATATGCCAGCTCTTACATGTGCCAACCCCTAGGCAAATTATTTTAAAACTTTATTTTATCATCTTTCCTATAATCCTATTGTCTACATATGTCAGGTGAGAAAGCTGAGATCAAAACCTCAGTCTTGGACTCGCTTTGAGCAACAAACCTGATTAACTGCTTTCCTTGTTATTTTTTGTTAAAATACTCAGTTAAAAACGTCTATTTTACTATACTAAGTAAGTGTATAGGTTCTCTTCCATTGGAAAGCAGTTTCCTAAAGAGTGCCTCAAGCATCAGCTAGTTTCAATACTTAGATGTCAGTTTCAGTAAGCAAAAAAGACGGCATAGCTGTAGAGCCTTAATTCAAATATGTTTCCCTCTGCTACCTAGATGGACACTACATGTTTACTCTTAAACCAAATGCATACACAACAAACAAATTTACAGGCAGGTGTTCACAAGTAGGCAGTGTGAAAAAGCATCAGAATACAATAGTATACTTTTTAAAAAATCAGCAGAACTCAATGGAAGTGTACTTAAAAAAAATAAATAGGATTTTTATTAGAAGATATACTAATAGCTTAAGAAAGAAAATCCTCTGTTTATTACTTCAAGAGACTAAACAAGAGCAAACTTCCTAGCTATAAATCTTCATGTTGGAATCTTACTATGATTTATTGTGTAATATTACCCCTATTTCTAAGAGCATCATACTCTGCCAAAAGAACCTGCATTATATTTAAAATAATTTGTTTCATGTCAAATAGTTCGCACGTACACCTTTCATTGAAATAAAGATTTTACCTGTTTCTCATCTATTATACTACACATTACTCAACTTATATTTTAATGCTTTTCTGAAAGAAATAACATTATTTTTTAATAAATCCTACTTGTCTAACTCATTAAATAAAAGATGTTGGATGAATAGTTTCCCTTTTCTCAAGAAAAAAAGTAAGCCCAAGCCCTACATAATTCATTCAGAATAGTTTTACAAGAGATAAAAATGAAAATTAAAATATATCTCTCTATATAAAGTTGTATATATAGCAATGATGACACCCAATGTTAAAGATGATGATTAAGTCAAAGCATATATCTAAACACATATACGGATAAATGTTCATACATCTGAGTTTCAAATGTTTCCCCAAGCAAAAGCCATACTAATGGCAAGTGAAAAAGAAAGCATTTAAAAAAATAATTATACATTTTATATTTTTCATGTACCCAGGAAAAGCAGTTCCATAATCCCAAGTAACTGCTACTATGAGGTTAGACAGCATAGATATGCTGCTAGTACAGTTTGGACAAAAGTGTTAAGTATAAACTAGTTTTCCACAGCTGTGGTGTCAGTTTCATGAAAAGTATCTAACAATATATTTCCTATATGTTAATGTACCCAAAATTTAAAGGGTGTTTAGAGGAAAATTTGAAAGCATAAACTTTATCCAAACTAAATCCAAAATAATCTTCAGTTATCTTTTTATTCCCCCTTTATTTATTGTGATTCTCAAAAGTTCTTGGTACAGATAGTAAAGTCACAAGCTCCAGATGTAAGCACAATCTCATTATACCAAACTCCATGACAACCCAAGTTCTTCTGTTGGTGAGAACTCTAAAACAGTAATTGGGCTATAAAAAAATCACAATCTTCAGGAGAAAGACTGGCAAAGAAAAAGAGCCAGTGGAGCACGTAAAAGGAGGAGGGGTGGAGATAGGCGCACTCTGACCTGAAAAAAATTAAGTGGATGCACACACCTTCACTCTGACCCCCTTTCTTCTCCAGGCCTTTGGGTTTTTCTATATTTGGTTTCAGTGGCTGATGTGGCTGTTTAGGTGTTTTGTGATGAGATGCTTTCTTGTTATTGGCACACCTGCAGCCAGGTGTGATAGCTGAAAGTTAACAGCTGCTTGATAAGGTAAATCAAATTCCTGTGTACAGTTAATGTCTCAACATCCGGCTCAGTTCAACTTTACTCTCTCCATCCCGGTCTAAAAGGCAAGTGCACGTATGGATCTCAAGAGCCAACCTCTCAAAAAGAAATAAATCTGTTTTATAAAATATATCCATTTTATAGATTAATTGCTATAATGGGGTTTTCACTTTTTCTTGTTTTCAAAATGCGAGTGTAAAATGCAATATGTTCCGGTGAAACTCTGTAAATGCTTACAGCTTCCAAATCAGACATAACAAAAACTACAGAACTAAAACAACTTACATGACATATAAAACCATGCATGAATTAGGTAAATCGAAAAAAGGTCATGAGCCTCATGAGTGCTACTAAATTAAAAGAACATCCAACTGTGCGCATCATGAGGACAAAACATAAAAAAGCCAGCCACGTTTGTTAAAAGCTTAAGCTTAAATGATCAATATTAAAACTAAAAGAAGCTCTCAATACAAGGAATAAGCTCTCAACATGTTCAGAAACATACCCGCCTTCTACAGAACCTATGAGGTGATCCTCCCTTAGCAATGAAGTTTATACAAAATAAAAATAAAAAGAGAAAAATCATCCCAAAACTCCAACTATTCATTTTCCCACTCAGCAAATACAGTTAAACATATACTAATAAATACATATCTTAGCATACTGAATAACATGATTTGTGTTAATCTGCAAAAACCTCAATTCTGAGCATTTCTCATTCCTAAGAGACTAATTAAAAACAATCTTAGCAAATAAATACATGTTATAATATACTAAAAAATTACCTTTAACATAATAAAATATAACTGAAATAATTTCTCCTTAAAAGGGGCCTATTTCCCTTTCTATATTGCAACTTTAATAAGATAAAAATTATTTCAACATCCAAAGGATATTTCTAAGTACAATACTTCTAACAAAAAAATTGCTAGAGGCTAAAACAAAAAATGTTGCTGAATATTCCGTTATCAAGAGTAACTTTAAATTATGCTTACACTGTAAATACTTATATACTTCGAAAATGCATTGAAATGGTTTGAGGGAAAAATGCAAAGTTAGAGAAGACTAAAAACTGTTTAAGAAAAGAAGTTCTATAAGCACATTTGGGAGGAAGATAATATAGGGAAAGATGAAAGTGTGTCAAGTAAATCTTACCCTTTGTTCCAACGCTGACTGAGTCTGTTGTCTTAAAAGACCTTTAAAGGGCCCCCCTTCTTTTCCAGCACTCCCACTTCCCATTCCTACAGAACATCAGTAGATAAATAACAACCAAAGAAACGACAACTATAGGAACAGAAAAATTTAGTTGTAATCATCTTTAAATATATAATGCATATTAAAATGATGCAAACATTTAAAGCTTTTCGGTTGGCAACTAAAACCTGTGCTACTCCGGTATGTTTTCTTTAGAAGCAAGATGTTCAACTGACCAAAGGTTGTTTTAGACTTGCAATAACTTTAATTAAAAGAAAAACTATATTAAGGCAATCAATTTGGGTATGTGTTTAATTTTTTAAAGTTAGTCTACTATTAGAAAATAATCAAGACCATTATAATAACTATTTTTTAAATACTAAATACTTTTTAGACATTGAAGGAAGAGAAAGAATAAATCTTTATCTAAAAATAAGTTCAGATGGGAAAAGCATTAGTGGTAGTCATTTATAATATTCCAAAATTCCCTAAAGAACATGAATCTTGGGGCAATTTTAAAAGTCAAACCTATTTTCCCATTTCTAAATATAGTATCATGACACAACAGTATTACTATTTATATGTTTCCATGTAAAAATAAAAGTATTCAAGAACTAAAAATCAAAAACATGTAATAGACACATCACAAATGTACAGTTATGGATGAAAGAATTGTATTTCCCAATCTCTTCGATGTATTTTTTAAAGCTTAATTTTTAATTTCCTCTATCTAATTTTATTCTTTTGATAGTACCACTAGACCAACTATGGTCAAAGGATTATAGAAAGGAGACAACAGGTGAGAAGCCGGGGCTTTAGAGACTATATTTATTGGTTCCATTTCACACTTCTCAAAACTAAAGTTACATAATGTCAGATTCATTACAAAGATTGAAAAAGAATTAGTTTTATATTTTTAGCTGTTCTCGGATAAGGAAACAAAGGTTAGTATGTGTATAATCCCATTATATGTCCTTTAGAAAGAAATAGAATTTTCTTTTTCTCTTATAAACCATGATTTTTAAGAGATTATACAATACTAAGCATAGAAATGAAACTACGATCTTTATATGAAGCATTTGAAAGCCACAAAATAAAATATAAATTCTAACGATAAATTAAATATCAGAACATTTAGCAGAATACCTTGATAATATAGGCAATGGTCAGAAAAAAAAATAAGGAGAGAATATCATCAAAATGAGACTTAAACTGATTCAAACAGATTAATTTCCTAATATAACTATATGGTTTGGCAACATGATGGTACAGATTCAATGTGAATGGAGTTGGTGTGAAGGGAAAGACGGTAAAGTATCTAAAACAGAAATGCTAACCCAAGTGTTACTGAAATTAGCTAGTTATCTGTACACATAATTTTCGTAAATTAACAAAATAATCTGAGCAGACTATTCATAATTAGACAAGTCATCCTCAATATGTCCTAACTGGTTAACTGTCTGCCAGTAAGGAAAATCTTAGAAATGTATCCTGTGTAAAATACCCCAGCATTTTTTAAAGCATAACCTAGATGATTGATTTTCAAAGGTGACTTAAAATACAGGCGTTAAGAAGCTGATGTAATTTGGTCCTACCAGAAGCAGCCAGGAACAGCTCTTCACTGAAAGAAACACTTTTCCTCAGCACGGGGCTGACAGGACTACAGTGAGGAGGGGTAAGGCTAGATTCCGAGAGGAGAAGACAGGACTTTTTAAGATGAAAGGAACCACAAGAGAAAGGGGGGTAGGTGGGGCACAGGTAACTCCTAGGACCCTGTGAGTAAGATGCTGTGGAGGAAAGTAGCAGAGAAAAGATGCAGATTCAGAAGATGGTCAGAAAATGCTGAATAAGGAAAGCAATGGTGAAGTAAAACATAACAAAAATAAACTTTCACATGTATATACAAATTACACTAGCATATGAAAAGTCACTAGGTAAAACCATTCTATCCAACATAATATAAAATAAGAAAGCTTATGTTAAAACATAGAATAGAGCCTTTATAAACGTATTCACTAAGCAATTTTAAATCATTTAGCTTAGGATTTTATGTCATATTAGTTGCATCTCACTGATTTCTTTAAAATATTTAAATTACCTGTATTTTTCCCCATAACACAAGGTTAACATGTGACACAGTTACAAATTTCTAAAGCCAGAAACTTGTTAACCTGGATATCTCAAATATAATCATTTATCTGAAGTGACAGTATATAGCGCTTCAAATGTTGTTAATTAAAAGATCTTACTTATGGGTATTTAAATTGAATAGAAACATACTATACATTAGGTAGACAACTGCCTTTATTAATCTTCATAAATGAAAAACTAATTTCTTCCTGTTCAGCTTTAGAGAGATGTTTTAACATGCCTTTATTAATCTTAAATTAATGAAACTAATTTCCTTCTGCTCAATTTTAGATTTGTATTTTAATACTATTCCTTTTCCTCTAAAAATTTTACTAGTCAGACCTGAGCTCAGCACTGTTCTCATGTACAGGATTTGAAAACACTGAGCATTAAATAACCCCTGGATCACAAACACGACATGTACGTAAGATTACATACATGTAAATGAGTATGTAACTCATTTAAAGAGTTAAGCTATCTGGAGTTCAGGTATCAATTAAAATGTTGAAAACTAGTACTTTAAATTCTATTCCTATTAGTTGAGTATTTATGGGGGAAAAAGGAAAATTAAGTCTCATAGAATGTCAAAAACTTAAAATTTACAGATGTAAATCAGTAAATAGAATTTAAAATGAGACCTATTCACAAAAAGAGGTCACAACTTTAACTATAAAAAATACAAATTTTCCAGACTAAGCTGTGTTGGCTCTACTTTTGACTGTCAGTTGACTTGTAATAAATCACATAACTAACTTACTTGAGATTATTTTTGCATATAGGTATAAATAAGGCATAGAATAAAATATATGCCGCATGACAGCTTTAGAAATCTTAGAACCACACTAATTTGGACATTTTAATCTCTACAAGAAAAAGGACTGTTTCTCAAAGATATTTTATAGACTCATGATAAAGCAAAGGGACTAAAAATTATAATTATACTACCCTGCAGTGAAAAATCCCAAGTAAAATAAATTCACTTATTTAGAGGCAGCTTATACAGGTAGAAATACATGCAAATACAAATAAATTTTTAAAAATTAGAAATTCATATACTTGGATATGCAAAAAGTTTCCACCAATAATACAATTGACTAACTGCTATAGAAAGTTAAGGAAAAAAAGTTTTCCTTCATTACTCTGGCAATCTTCTTTAGGCTTGGAGGTTTGAGTGAATTAAAACACGGGGGGGGGGGGGGGATCACAGAAATACATCTGCAGTAGAGAAAAATAAAATAATTACAAATGAAAGAGTAGATAAGCCTTGAAAATATGTGTTAAGATCTATTCTTCGAATGCTGTTCTAAGTCATTTTGTCGTTGATTGTTATGAATTTTAAGTCCAGGGTCTCATACTCTATTTGGAGGCTAAAGGGAAACTGTAAGATCATTTAAATGGTTCAGTTTTCTGGTTTTATATATAGGTAAGGTGCCATACTCCAAAGCGTCCATTATTAACAGAGCAAAATATTTCAGATGTTATTCCTAAGTGTGTAATATATAAAAATAGAGCTATTCTTTTCAAAGAAATATTAATAAATTATTTCCTTTATATTCAATATTAATAAAAACAGAATTTAAATATATAAGCATTTAATATATCTTCAATTTTAAAAGTGTTACTGGCTTCAGAGTTTTAAAATATTCTAAGGTCATTTTATAAGTTTCTTTTCTAAACACAAATAAAGATTATTAAATATGATAGATCTAAAATAAACAACTCTAAAATGTGACAATTGTGATGAAATTGTCAAATAAAAATACTCCTTATAAAAACACCAATAATTTTTAAATTTTTAATTGTTTCTTTAATATAATAATTTAAGTAAGTAAATTCAAAATGTGAAGGGACTAATTTCAGTTTTCAGTAATTTTTAAATTAGAAAACATTCCTAAAAGCCCAGGGTGATTTTATTAAAATACAAAAAGAGGAGAAAAGCTATAAACTTTATGGAGTGGTAAATATTTAAGAATAAGTAAAAATACTATTTTGCAACCTTCTGAGTAAGACGGGCGAAAACAAACATTTTAAATAACAAAATAAATAAAAGTGTTAGACATATAACCATTCCAGTTGTTCTGAAGATTTAGTCCTAAAAATATCTTAAAATTAATTTCTGAAAGAGGCAGGAGTAATGAATTCAAAAAGTTTACACTACATGAGGAATTTGCCTGCAAACTACTGATGTTATTTCAAATGCTTTAAAATAACATTATTCCTCTTAACTTTTGAGCATGAGATAAAAATATGCCTACCCACAAAATTTAATTTGGAACCTAATATGTAGCTCTCTAAATAAGATAATTTCTGGGCTGTAGAAAATGTTCCTATTTTAGTTGGAGTAAATGAAAATGAGCAGCTTCTATATCATCTTTTAACTTAAACAGGAGAAAAGTTTGAATGAAAAGCGAATAAAAACAAACAAATTTGAAAAAAAAAGTGAAGAAAGAGAAAGTGGGTGGAAGCGCCTTACCAGTTTTGGGTGTCAAACTCAAGTCTGTGTCAGAAGAGGAGGACTGTCGGCTGTAGGACTTGGAAGGTGAAAAGGAATAAGTTTGGTTTTTCAGAGGGGTTGAGGGTCCTGATGAGTGAGTATTGGGGTTAGGATCTTCATTGAAGGGAATCCTGCCAGAAGAAGGTGGAGAAATATTAAGTAATCATGTGCCAAAGGGCTTGACAGATGGCAGCATGATCCAAGCACCAGGAAAGTTCTGGGGCAGGGCCAGCAGTCATTTCTTAGGTGTGGAGCTGGGAATGAGGCCAAAGACAACCAATTGCTGTGTAACAGTTCATCATTCTCCAGATAAAAGTTTTCTGCATTGAAACAGTTAATAAGCCATGTAAAAAGCAAAAAAGCATGAAATGATAGACTAAAAGGGTAAAAAATAGAACTAAAAAAAATAAACATATGACCAAAAATATTTTCAAATTAACAAATTTTTTGTTACCAAGAAAAAATGATGACCGCAAACGGTATGTGTAAATATTTGTAACTCTTTTTTATATTTACACACACATCGATATCTTTGAAAGAAAAAAAAGTTTCCTTATCCTATAGCATCAAGAGTGCCACAGCTAAAAACACAGCAGGGAGGAGGAGGAGAGTAGCTGCATGGAAACGTCACACTTTATGCAGACAAATTGCTTACCTGTTTTCCAATAGCTCTCTTCCACAAAATAAAACAGAATCCTATTATAACAGGTTTGGGGCTTAAAGAAAACAAGCTTTCCCATCTCATAGCCGATCATCAAATGTACTTCTAAGAAGTACACATACACAATATAGGATAAGGTTCTTGGAGTATCTGTGGAAGAGGCTTTGGGAGTCAGAAGAATACTTCCACTGCCACATAGTTAGAGCCTCTGAGGTGGCTAGATACAGAAGTTCTTCACTGCAGCTAGGCTTCGAATGTGAAAAGGAGGAAGCAAAGGCTTGTGGTACCTGCCTACGCTACCTGCCTGCCTGCCTCTCCCCAGCTCTGGAGTCTGAGCAGTCTCGTACCAGTGTAGATGAGAGTGGGAACAGACACAGAGAAGTTCTGAGTAAGTCGAGAGCCAGTAGCAGTGTGAATTGGGCTGTTGTGAGTCGAGCGGCATCCATGGCTTGGAGGATGAACCAGCGGAGACCTGAGGGAATTTGTGGTCAAAGTGGAAGAAAAGAAAACAATACATACAACAGATAGCAAAGTTATATTAAAATAATTTTAAGGAGCTTTAGTTAGGGGAAAGAATTTATCTTTTTAATCTCTAGCATGCAAAATACAAGTTGAAATTTTAAAAAATAGCTAAATGTGAATGTGCTAAGACAATTACACTTCTAAAGGATTTGATTAATAAATTAGGGCTACAAATAAGAAAAAGTAGCAAGCAAAGTAGTCAGTAGAATTAGGCAAGAAAAAGTAGGATCTGGATGTCATGTCATAATGCTGTAAACAACAAGCAATGCTACAGCTTACTCTGTAATAGTATGGAGAGAAAACAATCATGAGTGGAAAGTCAGATATAAAGTTTTCATATTACCTTTGAAATTGAGACATGACTAATTTCTGATATAAAGAAACCTGTCTATCAGAACTTTAACTAAGAGAACTTCCTAGAGGTAACCTTAAAATGGGAATACATAAAAAGGTTGAGGACTGGGGGTGGGTAAACATGGCATCAAGGGAAATGAGATGAACTGAATGGCAACAGGTAGATGGGTCCATTCCAGGATGTCAGCACACCAAGTGTATGACTTAGAACCAGGTTATGCAGGGAGCAAAGCAGAGCAAGGGGACCCGGCTTTCAAGACACATTAATACAAAGAGTAAATTATTTTTTCTACCTCAAATACAGAACAAATTAACCTACCTTCTGAATTAAAATATTCTAAGATACTAATGTATATCCTGCAATAGACCACTTCCTGTGTGCATAGATACATCATATTTTTACCCAAACATTCAGTACTTTCTGGAAGAAATGTTGCTGAAAGGGCAAAATAACAATGGATAGGAGAAAAGGAACTGTTATATACATAAGAATCTTGAACTTTACATTAACAATCAATTTCACTGAGTTAAGCCTCTTCACATATGTATGGGGTGGGGGAGAGAATTGTATGTGATACACTCTGAAAATATTTATATCTATACTTTTTCACAAATCAAATTAAAAATAAGCCAAAAGCTCTACTTTTTCTGGCCTTCCCCCACCCCCACCCCCACCCCCACCCCCCATTTATTATAGTATTGGCTGCCCTGTGAACAGTCAAAGATTCAACATGATCTATCAATGACTGGCCCTAATGGTTTCTCATAAGGTCTACTGACTACAGAAATGTTATTGATTCTACAATAAAATGTTTCTGCTTTGGCTACTAGCATAAATTTAAAATGTGTTCAATATAGCAAATAAAAGTGAAATTACCTTATTGGAAACATATGTTTATGGAAAAACTAAGGGAGGTTTCATTTTGTTTTATATTTAAATGACCACTGAACCCTGTAAAAATCTAAGAATCAGTATCATAGGAAGCTATGGCTAACCACACTTATAAGGCTCTTCTTTATCTTAATTAAAGAAGCAATAAATCATATTTAACAATCACTGTATACTATCAAGACTGTTCAGCTTAGAAGTACTAATATATATTTCACTAAATATATGTAAGTAAAAACTGAACTTATGAAGTTGAATAAAATACACCTAATAAGATATTTAGATTGACACGGCATTAAATCTAAATATACTAGAGCATCATCATAATGTATTTCTAGGCTTCTAATTCTATCAATTACTTTGCACAAAAGGTCAATTTACAATAATATCCTGATATGTTAAACCTAAATCCATTAATATAGAAACATAACCCAAACTACCTTTTAGAAAATTCTATCTAGAACCAACAATATTATTTGATGACTTAAATACCAGAATAGTTATAATCAGCAGAATCTCAAAAAATAATAATAGTAAAGGTTTTAAAACAGTGTCTGAATTGATTCATTTGCAAAATTACAAAGTCCTTTGAAATGAAGCAGCCTGATCACTGAGGGTTTTGTTGGGGTTGCTGTTTTTACATAACAGGACTTAAATGGTGGGTTTCAGAACATCTTAATGAAGTAAATTGATTTCTCCACAGTGAGGTCAATGTTTGACAATTTAAGACAAATGGTTACAAGAACTTAGAAAAAAGAGAAAACTTTAACAATTTCAGAAGATTTACATTACTGCAACTCTTCTTCTTGACTACATGCAAACAAGTTCCCGGCTATCCAGATCTCATTCTAACATAACAAAGCTTTCTTTTTCCATGAAGTAATTCAGCAAAAAGAGAAGACCTTTAGACAGCGCAGCCATAAAAGCCAGACCTCTTAAGGCAGTGCTTATAAAGCTGGAGGAGAACAGAAGAATCTAGGTGTTTTATCAAATTTGCTGAGGAAAAAAAAATCTGCGATTTGACTTCACCTGTAGCATCAGGCAGCTCCTCTCTCTCTTATACATGTTTTAAATGTCCTATATAGCAAATTCACTCATCAGTCGGTTTCATGTGAAACATTTTTTCCACTAGTGCATGTATTTCCAAGTTAAATTAGGCAATATACATAACACTGTGCTGTCTCTTGTGACTACAAATTAATCCAAATGATTAGGAGAGAGCAGGCAGGAAATGACTAACGGAATAAGCTTAAAATAAAGAGGAAAATCTGATAAGGAGATTCGGACTGCTTTACACTTAGTGTCTATGACCTCTGCTGAACTTGGAAACATTTCAGATTTTCTGATTAAAATTATGACTACCCGACAACCTATCAAAGGAGTCAGCCTGTTTTTGTACACAAAGCTTTGCTGGAACATAGCCACGCACTGTCATTGATAGAGTGTCCATAGCTGCTTTCATAACACTATAATCAGTAAAAACATGGAATTACCAAATATTATGTATCTTCATAGAAAGAGCTTGTCACCCCTTAGAATAATCTCTAGATCAATGGTCCTCAGGGGAAGACATCCTAGAGTTTAGAGTTAGAACAAGCCTTGAATATGCAGAATTGTCCCTATCTGTATAGTCTCTGTAGCACAACTGCAAAAGTTCTTTTTCAAACATCTCCTCTTAATGGTACTGCCACCATTGAGAATCTCTGTCCTAGTACTCTAGGCAGATAATAGCACACAGGTCAAATCAGTTAACAGATAAATGTGTTTTGCTGGATCACCTTTTTTTTTTTTTTAATATGACTCTAAATGTCTTTGGACTAGGGCCAGCAAACACCTATATTTGGAAATTAAGTTTTACTGGAACACAGCAACATGTATTCATTTATAAATTATCTATGGCTCTATTTCACACTATAAAACTGAATTGAGTAGTTCAGACAAGAGACCACATGGCCTGCATGCTTAGAATATTTACTACCTGGCCCTTTACAGAAAAGCTTGCCAACCTCCACTTTAGGCAGTTTCCATTAATCGTTACTTCATTATACCCAATTTTTATCTTTATATAAACTGCCTGATCGCTGTAGACATTTGAGTTTGAGAATTCGACACAAGTCAATCTTTCCAACTTTCTGCACTATGTTTCCAAACATAAGCTTAACAAATAATCAGTTAGAGGGCTTTAGGGAGTCCTCAGAAAATAAGTAAAATTCCACACAGTGCATCAATAACTCATTTTATGTCCCAGATATACAGTGTTTAAGTTTCAAATTAAGACTGTAAATATTTGAATTTTCTAAATATTGTAAAACATTACATTTGGCAATTATCTGTATCAAGAAAAACCACCATGGGGGAGAAGATTTGTTATGTTGGACAACCCTACTAAAATGTTTCAACTCAACTGAGCATGTAGAACAATTCACTGATTCATACTTACTCCTTCATTTCTTTGGATGGGGAATTACATGCAGGAAGGAATGCTGCTGGGCTACTGAGTTTATCCAGTGTGCATGCTGTTCCTATGGCTCGTACCACTAACCCAGACTCGCCTTCAAGGTCAAAACACTGTAAGTACCCAACCACTGCATTTCCTCTCATTTCAAGTACTTTCAGGCCAATCTTCCTCTGTAGTTCACCTGTAAGAAAGGAAGAAAATGTGTTCTGCTTCATCATTTGTCTACATTATGTACTGATAAAGCTGGAAAGATACACAATTAAGAAACAATAAACAGTAAAGAAAAAACAACCATAATGTTTTGGAATGTAAAAGTATTCCAAGAGCTTAACTGGTCCAGCTACATTTTATACATGCAGACATTAAGATTTGTTCATTCATACACTCACACTTATCAAATAAATTTATGCTGCCTATAAAGAATTGAAGCAAAAAGATAAAGTCCTCTACAGCACAAGGGGTGAAGCCTAATATAAACCATGGACTTCTGCCAATAAGACACCAATATGGGCCTATCAATTATAGCAAGTTTACCCTGCAAATGCAAGGTGTTCCCAACAGGGGCAACCATGTGCAGGGCATAAAGGAACACTGTATTTGTTTTCTTCACAATTTCTCTGAAAACTGCTCTGAAAATGAGGTCTTTTTTAAAGAAAGAGAATAAAAAAGATAGTTCTATACCTAACAAGAGTTTACATACTGGCAAGAAAAAGACACCAAAGAAGCGAACATATATAACTATATGCATGTATATAGTATACAACCAAAATAAGTATAATACATGCCTTACTACATACAGCTTTTTATTTTTTGCTATTGTTATTAGGTGCCATTTTGTTGGCTTTCAATTCAGCGAGTCCCCTCACGACACAACTGTGTTCCAGTCTAGGTTGTCGGTCTTTTGCCCACACAGCTGCTGCATGGGTTCTAACTCCCAACTTTTCAATTAGGAGCCAAGTGCTTAACCTTTTTTCTTAAAAAAAAAATATATATATATATATATATATATATATATATAACACAGACTGCAATGCAAACATATTTTTGTTAAATATTTTTCTATTCACATACTTCTGTTCTGTGTGTGTACCTATAAACACAATATTTAAGTGGTAAAAAAGAATGAAGGTAAAAGTGGCAGGGAAAGGGGAGGTAGAGGGAACTGCAAGCAGTTGTCAGGAAGAAATGTATTAGAGAGAGACAGTAAATGATATGCCTAAGAACTGATTAAAATAAAATTTCCCCCCCAACTCCATCCAGGCCTTCTAATCACTCACCGCCAAGCTCCCTAAGGTTGTCTCTATGCTCAGGCAGAAGCCATCAACTACGGATGAGAAAGTGCCTTTGTGCGTGGTCTTCTCCATTCAATCCTCAACAATAAATTAGCATACTGACTAGCTGTTCACTCGTCTGCTCTACTAGGAGCACTTTCTTTTGTTCACTTACCCAACTTGTATGATAGTGTAGAGAACAATACGCAAAACCTATCTGTGTATTTTTCTGTGATCCGTAGTCAAATGAGAATTTTTCTCTTGGGAGAAATGCATCAATATCACTACATTTGTAGATGTGTGAATATAATATGGGTGTAAAACCATGCCAGAATACATGGCAAGGTAAAGACCTGTAAGAGTCTGGTATTCTATGGAGTAGCAGATATATATATATTTGAGTTTTACTTAATTTCTGAGAGAATTTTCCTCACTTATAAAATATACCTACTAAAGCTTCCTCAGCCAAACTCACCAGATTAATAAGAAAAAAACACAAAGTAGATGGAAAAAGTTGGTAAGCTCATACAAAAAAAATAAATAGAGTAAAGCTGGTAATAAGTTAATAAATAAAAGTTCGCAAACCAAACGGAGTACTACCAAGTCCACTGCAACTCAGAGGAATCATAAATAGGGTTTCAGAGAACAGAAATGGTTACAGGAGCAGAAAGCTTCATCTACCCTCAGGGCAACAGATATTTTAACAACTGACACTGCAGTTAGCAGTCCAACACCTAACCTCCAGCCCAGCCAGAACTCTTACACAAATGGGGGGTGGGGGTGAGGTGTCGGGTCAGCACCAACTCATAGTGACCCTATGCACAACCGAACAAAGCATTGCAGTCCTGAGCCAGCCTCACAATTATTCCCGTGCTTGAGGCCCATTGTTGAAGCCACTGTGTCAATCTCCCTGAGGGTCTTACTCTTTTTTGCCACCTCTCCACTTTACGAAGCATGATGTCTTTCTCCAGGGAATGGTCTGTCCTGACAATTGTGTCCTAAGTATGTAAGACAAAGCCTTGCCACCCTTGCCTCTAAGCACTGTGTTGGACATCTTCCAAGACAGATCGGTTTGTCCTTTCAGCAGTCCATGGCACTTTCAATATTATTCTTCAACACCACAGTTCAAATACATCAATTGTTTTTCCTTATTCAATGTCCAACTTTCACACACACATGAGGCAACTGAAAATACCATGGCTTGGGGCTACTCAAAGTAAGAGCATTGCTTTCCAATACTCTAAAGAGGTCTTGTGCAGCAAATTTACCTGATCTCTTGACTGCAGCTTCCAAGAGCACCAATGTGTGGATCCAATCAAGGCAAAATCCTTGACGGCAACCTTTTCTTCATTTATCATAATGCTACCTATTGGTCCACTTGTAAGGATTTGAGTCTTCTCTATATGGAGTTGTAATCTATACTGAAGGCTGAAATCTTTGTTCTTCATCAGCAAGTGCTTCAAGTTCTCCTCTTTATTTATAACCCTAAGCTTTTTAAACTATAGGTAGATACAAGTTTTCAAGTTTTAATATTAAAAATACTGATGATCCCAATATGTAGTTTTTTATATTCTCTTTCAAATTTTGTTGAAATATGCTTAAGTGTATTACATACTTACAATTCAAATACATACATTTTTAAATTCTGCTTTTAATAATTCAATCAAAAATATTTTTTAGTAAAAAGTCAAATCCAAAAGAGGGAACCTGTATCAGAGCTTAAATTCTGAACACCCAGTTTGCAGAAGATTATGAAGAACAGTGGAAACCCAAATCCTTTTGCAGTGTCTCCGCATGAATTAAGCCTACGGTAAATGCCCTCTGACCAAAGTCCAAGGATGTGAATAGTCTTGCTATAAGACAGAGATCATAATAAAATTGACTATGACAGATGAAGTTAGGTTAAAAATGCAACACCTTATTATCTGCTCTCCCTTTAAACCCATTTTAAAGTTGTGCAATTTCTTAATATTTTCTGCTTTCTTTTCAGTTGAGGTTTTTCTGTTTTGTTTTCTCATTATTGTTGGGAGTTTTTTTGTTGTTGGCATGATTTTCTGTATATGAAATCTAGGACGGGTAAGTCTATAGAGACAGTAACTGGATTAATAACTAACTGCCTAGAGGTATGGTCCTCAAGTCACAGGAGAGACCTGGTGGCATAGTGGTTATGTATTGGGCAGAACTCAGCAAAGTCTATAGTTCAAAATCATTAGCTGCCTGCTCCTCAGGAGAAAGACAGGGTTTACTGTCTTGTAAACAGTTAGTTTACTGTCATGTAAACAGTTAGTTTATGGACAGGGGAAGTTCTGTCTTGAGTCAGCATCAACTCAATGGCAGTGAGTTTGGTTTTTCCAGTTTTTTGAAGGACATGACAAGGGAGGATGAGGGGAAATGGGGAGCTAATTACAATAAGAAAAAAAGTTCTGAAATTGATTGTGGTGATGATTGCACAACTCCTCTTAATATGACAGAATGGTTAAATTGTATGAGAATTATATGGCAATATAAGTATTAAAAATACATATTTTCTTTGTTTCAGGTGGGTTTCATAAGTATTCGCGATAAGACTGAAAGATTCACTGAGCTGACTTATTCCCCTTTAGACTGTGGAAAACATTTAAAATGTTTACATGCTTTTGCTACATAATTAAGATAACACTATTTTGATTGTCTTTGTTCTGTTCGGTTGCTGATTCATGCTGTTAAAATGACAAGAACATTTCTATAGGTTGTGATACACTGACCAATTACATCCTAACGGGATTGTAACCATCTCACAAAGTCACCGACAAACATATGACAGATCTCAATATAAGCTCATTAGCATTAGGTGAATATTTTTTACTCATGTAGAAGATAAAAATCAGGATCACAATGTTTACTGTATCTGTATATTTTCCAATATTATCAAAGGTGTATCCCCAAATTTTCATTGTATTTCATTTCCTGTGATCTGTCCACTTATATACAGTGCTCATCTACCATACCCACCCCCCAAAAAAGCCTATGCATGATATCAGGCAAGGCAGCCAGGTCTTTTCACACTAACTTTTCACACAAAAAATTAGTTTGTGCAATTAACTGGACAAATCAGATGTCGAGGATCTATAAACTACTGAACTGTGCTATTATGACATTTTTTCTATTTTAGGAGTTTCATTACCAAAACTTACAATGAATATTCTCTTGTCTTTTTCAGACAAGTACTAGTTTTTCCTTTTAAAACCAAAAGAAGAATACTGTCACTATATGAAACAGGAAATACTGTACACATTTTAAAATACAAGGGGGCTAAAAAAATTATAGAAAAATTCCATTATCTTTTAATTCTATTTTTCTAGGACCAACAGTTATTAAATACACACAAGGAAACTGATAAAGAAAAAACATTACCGTATATACTTGAGTATAAGCCAACCCGAATATCAGCTAAGGCATCTAATTTTATCACAAAAACTGCATTAAAAATGTGCTGAAAAACTCAGTTTATACATGACTATGTGTTTTTTATGCGTTGGAATAAACTCGATGACAGTGTGTTGAGGTTTGTTTTTTGTTGTGTTTTAGTTTGCTTGCTTGGAATTGAATTTCTCTTATATAAAACAACCAAGAGCTTTTATAACCCCTTTCACTATGAGCAATAAAGAATATCCTGCTATAGGTTTCCATGCCAATTGTTTTTCATAAGAATTAATGAATGGTTCATTTGATGTAGATTTTGAAGGTTTAGACATTACATTCTATTAACACATGTAAACCAAATTCTATCTCTATGACATTTTTATATATTTTCCTATATACTTTACAAGCTATATTACAATATAGTTTAACACCAACTTGTAAAGCTTTAATAAAAATTTTTTAAAAACCAACCAACCAAGCTGACTCTGGCCTCCTCCCCGCCACCATCAGAGTAAAGCTGTGCTCCACAGGGTTTCCCACACCTGATTTCTCAGAAGGAAATCATTATGCTTTTCTTCCAGGGAGCCTCAGGGTGGACTCAAACCTGTAGCCTTCAAGTTAGCAGCTAAGCATGTCAACAGTATGTATACACCCACCCATAGACTCCAAACAAACTGAAGAGAACAATGTAACTAGAGATCACAAAATACATCTTTTTAAAAGTCTGAGTCAGAAATGAAATAAACCCTATTCATAAAAGGAAATCTCTAGAACTCTTAACATGAAATAAATAGTGATTAAATATATCCCAAAATTAAAACTCTCATAAAAATAACTATTGACCCTCCCTCGAGAAGAAGTTACTTCAAAGGATGGCACTGAATCCGCAGCTCCAGGAGAAGGATATATCTGACCAGAACACACAGGAGCAGATGACAGGGGGAGGAGGAGAGACTGGAGGACATCCTGGCCCACCAGGCCTTGAGGACGATGACCCCAATTAGAGCAGCCAGTCCACAGAGAGGACCACATGGCCAGCCCCACTATG